GTGGCTTTGCTATTTTTACTAAAGGAAAGGCAGAGACAAGTGGGTAGGGGTTAAAAGGTAATTACTTAAATGAGGAGGCTGCTAAATAAGGTGAGAGCCTAGAAAGAAGCCAGGAGGTGTCACAGCTGGTTCAACATGCATCAGGGGATCTCTCTGTGAATTAAACTAAAAATTTTGGTTTCAACGCTCAAAAGAACTTCCCAGACACATTTTAGCTTTGATTTATTGCATACTTAAATCCAGAATTGTGACATTACCTGATGTCATAAACTAAGATGACCATAAAGAACAAATTAAGAAAAGTTTCCCTATTTTTACTTTTTAACTTTTTATTGAAGTATAGCATACACACACAAGAGTACACATATGTGTACTGTACAGCTTGATGGATTTTCACAAATTTAACACACTCATGTAACCAGCATTCAGATGATGAAACAGAACACTACCAGCACCTTAGAATTCCCTTTATAACCCCTTCTAGTTAATACTCCCTCCCCAACAAGGATATCCACTATGGTGATTTCCATCATAGTTTAGTCTTACCTACTTTTGTCCTAAATGTAACTAATATTAAATGTACTCTATTGTGTCTGGCTCCTTATATGAGACTCATCAATACTGTTGCATGTAACTGTACATCATTGATCTCACTGCTATATAGCACTCCAATGAATGAATATACCACATTTTTTTAATCCATTCCACTGTTGATGGGCATTTGGATAGTTTCCAGTTTGGGGCTATTATCAACAGTGCTGCTATGAACATTCTAATATATATCTTTTGATGAACATATGTATGCATTACAGTTGGATATATTCCTGGAAGTGGAATTGCTGGGTCTCCAGGGGTCCAGGGAAATGGAATTGCTGGGTCTCTTTTCACCTCAGCAAAATTTCTAGGGGTCCAATGATATGAGAGATATGTCTCCTAAGGTAAAGGATAAGTTGCTTCATCTGGCCCCTCTTACAACCAAAAAAGAAGCACAATGCCTAGAGGGCCTTTTTAGATTTTGGAGCCAACAGAGTTCTCATTTAAGTGTACTACTCCAGCCCGTTTACTAAGTGACTTAAAAAGCTGCTGATTTTGAGGAGGTCTCAGAACAAAGAGAAGGCTCTGCAACAGGTCCAGGCTACTGTGCAAGATAATCTGCCACTTGTACCATATGATCCAGCAGATCCAATGGTCTTGACGTGTTAGTGGCAGATACAGATGCTGTTTGGAGCCTGTAAGTGAATCACAGCACAGGCCCTTAGGATTACGGAGCAAAGCCCTGCCGTCTTCTGGGGATAACTACTCTCCTTTTGAGAAACAGCTTTTAGCCTGCTACTGGGCCTTAATAGAGACTGAAGACTTAACCATGGGCCACCAAGTTTCAAAGAGAGCCAAGCTGCTTATCATGAATTGTGTGTTGTCTGAAGCACGAAGCTACAAAGTTGGCTGTAAAGAGCAGCACTCTGTTAGCAAATGGAAATGGTGTATATGAGATTGGATTCAAGCAGGCTCTGAAGGCACAAGTAAGTTATATGAGGAAGAGGCCCAAATGCCCATGGCCCCTACTCCTGCTACATTACCTTTTCTCACCCAGCCTAGACTTACAGCATCATGGGGAGTTCTCTACAATCAGCTCACTGAGAAAAAGAAAACTCAGGTTTGGTTTACAGATGGTTCTGCATGATATGCAGGCACCCCCTGAAACTGGACAGCTACAGTACTACAGCTGCTTTCTAGGACATCCGTGAAGGAAATTGGTGAAGGGATATCCTCCCTGTGGGCAGAACTTTGAGCAGTGCACCTCCTTATTCACTTTGTTGGAAGGAGAAATGCTCAGATGTACAATTATATACTGATTCATGGGCTGTGGCCAATAGTTTGGCTAGATGGTCAGGGACTTGGAAGGGACATGATTGGAAAATTGATGACAAGGAAATTTAGGGAAAAGGCATTTGGATAGACTCTCTGAATGGGCAAAAAGTGTGAAGATATCTGTGTCTCATGTGAATGCTCACCAAAGGGTAATCTCAGCAGAGGAAGATTTTAATTATCGAGTGGACAAGATGACCCGTTTTATGGATACTGGCTAGCCTCTTTCCTCAGCCGCCTGTGTCATCGCCCAATAAGCTGATGAACAAAGTGGCCATGGGAGCAGGGATGGAGGTTATGCATGGGCTCAGCAGCATGGACTTCCACTCACCAAAGTACAGCCACTGCTCGGTACCCAATCTTTCAGCAGGAGAGACCAACACCTAGTCCCCATTATGGCACCATTCCCTGGAGTGATCAGCCAGCTGCCCAGTGGCAGGTTGATTACATTGGACCATTTCCATCATGGAAGGGGCAGCATTTTATTCTTACCAGAATAGACACTCTGGATATTGATTTGCCTTCCTGCACACAATGCTTCTGCCAAAACCACTATCCAAGGACTTATAGAATACATTATCCACCATCATGGTATCCCCTTACAGCATTGCTTCTGATCAAGGAACTCACTTCACAGCAAAAGAAGTGTGGCAATAGGCCCAAGCTCATGGAATTCACTGGTCTTACCATGTTTCCTACCATCCTGAGGCGGCTGGTTTGATAGAATGGTGGAATAGCCTTTTGAAGACCGATTTATGGCACCACCTAGGTAGCAACACCCTGCAGGGCTGGAAGAAGGTTCTTCAGAAGGTTGTATATGCTCTGAATCAGCATCCAATATATGGTGCTGTTTCTTCCATAGCCAGAATTCACAGGTCCAGGAGTCAAGGGGTGGAAATGGAAGTGGAACCACTCAATATTACCCCTGGTGACCCACTAGCAAAATTTTTGCTTTCTGTTCCCATGACTTTATGCTCTACTGGCCTGGAGGTTTTAGTTCCAAAGGGAGGAATGCTTCCACCAGGAGACACAACAATGATTCCACTGAACTGAAAGTTAAGACTGCTGCCTGGCCGCTTTGGGCTCCTCGTGCCTCTGAGTGAACAGGCAAAGAAGAGAGTTACTGTGTTGATTGATCCTGACTACCAAGGGGAAATTGGACTATGGAGGTAAGAATGGAGTATGTCTGGAATACAAGAGATCCCTTAGGGCATCTCTTACTATTACCATGCCTTGTAATTGAGGTAATTGGAAAACTACAATTCAATCCAAACAGGACTACTAATGGCCCAGACCCTTCAGAAATGAGGTTTTCTGTCACCCAACCAGTTCAAGAACCACAACCAGCTGAGGTGCTTGCTGAGGGCAGAGGGAATATAGAATGGGTAGTGGAGGAAGATAGTTATAAATACCAGTTACAACCACATGACTAGTTAAGCAAATATCTTTGTTTTCTTCCCTCTCTTATCCCCATAGCATCTAACATAAGATGTATTAATAATAGTTAACTTTATATCACAGTACTCGAATTACAGAATATCAAGGAGAAGAGTAAACATCACCCAAGGACTTTGCATCCTCTCCTAGGGAAGGAGTTAGCACATTTTTGATTGTTTGTAGGAGAGTTGTATTAGGTTAGGCAGAAGTGTGACTTTGTTATTGTCTTTATTTGGAGATTAAATATGGTTTAAGGAGATATGTATGAATGCATAGTTGACATGGAGTAGACTAGTTAGTTAGTAGAGATGGTTAGTTGTATGTGTCAACTTGGCTAAGCTATATTACCCAATTAAATTAAATACTAATCTTGGTGTTGCTGTGAAGGTATTTTGTAGATGTGGTTAACATCTATAATAAGTGACTTTAAGTAAAGGAGATTATCCTTGATAATGTGGGTAGGCCTCATCCAATCAGTTGAAAGGCTTTAAAAGCAAAACTGAGGTTTCTCTGAGGAAGAAGAAATCCTCCTGAAGACTACATCATCAGCTCCTGCCCAAGAGTTCCCAGCCTCTTCTACAGTTTTCAGACAGACCCTATAATTGCATGTCAATTCCTTGAAATAAATCTCTTTATATACATATACATATATGTATATGTGTGTGTATATACCTACTAGTTCTATTTCTTTGCTAGAACCCTGACTGATATGGCATCTACTATTCCCTACCACTATGCTGTTATGAGAGATAGAAATAGAAAGAAGTCTACTATGTGATCTCTGTCCTTGAAAACTTCATAACCTAAAGAATATGAAAAGTGAGCACTGTAAATTATACCAGGTTGTAGTATATTATTAAGTGTCAAATGAGTAGCAGTAAATTAAGTATTCAAGGAACTTAGAAAAAAAGAAAAAGATCTCTGTGGACTAGGGAATGCTCAGGGCAGGCTCGGTAGAGGAAATGGGGATAAGAATCAAGAGTAGAAAGCTTAGTTGGATTGAAGTCAGACATAGTCTCTTACATTTCAATTGCTTCATTGCCTGCTTACTCATAATAGGTTTCCAAGCTCCAATGAGTACTTAGACATCCTGCCTGATACACAGTTAGGGAAGTACAGAAAAACCTAAACTTGGAGTTTAGAAGCCTTGAAAGAGTGAATTGCTCTCCACCACTTGGTAGCAGTATGATCTTGGACAAATTGCATACTACTTTAAGCCTCAGATTCTTAATACATAAAAGGAGGATAATACTACACATCCCGTCTATCATAAAGTCATACTGAAAAATAAATGAGATATAATAAGGTGCTTAGCTCAGTGCTTTTCACAGAGGAAGTACTCAACCAATGTTAAGTGAATGTAAAAATATCTCCATATCTTTAAAAAGAATGCTACTAAAAATGAAACCCAACAACACTAAATTTCAAATAGTTATAAGAGGAAGTATCCTAGATAAATATATGTTAAATCAATAGCATAAGCTACTTTTTCAAAAGATGAAGTATTTGACATTCAAAAAATTATTTTACTCAGGTTCTGAAACCTGACCAAACTTTTTATATTTTACCATTTCCACTTTGTGCAAGAACCCTTAGAATACAATTTATAACTGCCCTTCCTGTGTAAATAATGAATTTACAGTGAAAAAATGTTTTATAGCTTCCAAACAGTAGGCTCCACATTCATACTCTAGTACCTTGAGGAATATCTTTAGGAGGAGAATATTTCTTCTTCTTTACAGTAATACCTTTACTTTTCACTTGTCTAGTTCCTGGTGATGCTCTAATGATACAACATATTTCTGATGTATTTGAAGGAACCTGAAAAAGAAAAAAAAAGCAGATATTGCACAATTCATCCAGGTACTATATTTGTATGTTGTTTTATTTCAAAGGCAATGTTATGAGAGGTTCGGAGATTCGGTCGGAGATGTAAAAGAAACTTTCCACTCCAAACAAATAGACTGAAGGTATATTTTATTATATAGAGGAGAGTAAAGGTGATAGTCCACGAACAGATCCGAATAGGTCAAATATTAAGAGGGAAAAACATCAGCTCGACTGGAAAGGGAAAACATCTACATCAACTGAGATAGCAGCAGATTCAAATAGATCATATAACGAGAGGGAAAAACATCAGCTCGACCAGAAAGGGCAAACATCCACATAGACTGAAGGGAAATGACATAAATCAACCGGAAAGAGAAACATCAGGTTCACCAAAAAGAGAACACATCAGATTGGTTACTCACAACATCCACGCCCCACTGCCTGGGGAGTCCCTTCAACTGACATGGCTGGACGGGAATCACACGTCCTGGGCAAGGCATCCCTTCCACAGGTGAGACTCTCACCAGGCCTCAGTTTCCAGCAGTTTTTTATAGCATCGATAATTCCCAGAGTAAGCAGTTACAGAGCTTTTACAGAGCAAGCATTCAGTATTCCCATGCACAAATGGTTATCAGTGGCATACGTGCACTGAGTCTCCTGGCTATTGTCCCAGCCTTCCAGTTGTGTACATGCATTGTTTGCCCTGGTTATCATCCCAGCTCGGCACAGATGGCCAGTCTGCCCCAGGCTGCTGAGCCCAAAGGGCTTGAAATTTTTACACATTGCAACTATCTCCATGGGAGAAGGGCCAATTCCCACCATGCAGAAAGCAGCTTTATATTTCTTTTTGTGCTGGTGGCTGTAGGTCAATGGAGCAGCCAAACATGGCTGTACTCATGTCAAGACAGGCAGATAGTCTCGATATCCATATTTCATAGATATTAACAATAGAAAGCATTTATGAAATGCTTACTCCACTCCAGACACTAACTAATTGGTTTTAAAACATTTGCTTATTTAATACTCACAAGAACCAGGCAAGGCAGGGGGCCAGCCCGGTGGTGCAAGCGGTTAAGTGTGCGAGCTCCACTGCGGCAGCCCGGGGTTCGCCGGTTTGGATCCCCAGCACTCACCGACACACCACTTGTCAAGCCGTGCTGTGGCGGCGTCCCATATAAAGTGGAGGAAGATGGGCATGAATGTTAGCCCAGGGCCAGTCTTCCTCAGCAAAAAGAGGAGGATTGGCAGATGTTAGCTCAGGGCTGATCTTCCTTACCAAAAAAAAAAAAAAGAACCAGTCAAGGCAGATTATATTATCCCCACTTGTAAAATGAGGAAACTTAGGTTCAGAGAGGTGGGATAACTTATTTAAGGACAGAGAGATAGTAATGATAGAGTTGAGATTTAAGCATTACAAAGTGGGAGAGCAAGTTTACATGATTTACTGAATTAAAACACAAATTTAAATTTAATTCTGAGTCAAACACTAAATTTCCTTGATTTCCCAACTCAGTTAATTTTGACAATTTCTCGTCAAGCAGACAGTCTCTAGAATAAAGAAATACCACATCTTTCAGAAGTGACATATCTTATTTCTTAGAACTCAGAAGTAGAGATATATATTTATCAAGGGCTCTTCCCATTTTAAATAAAGCCTATATAGAAACTTCTTCTACTGTAAAATTCATATCATCCTTTGTGGTGGACACTTGCTATTTTCCTGCCCAGCATTCATTTTCCATCCTTCTGGTACAGTTTTCTTGGACGATTCTACTCATTCTACCAGCCTGCACACCACTCCTTCCTTATGGATCATGTGGAGCTGGTAATACTTCTGAGCACCGAGATGGCCACAGGACTCAGCCTAGCCAATCAACATATTCCATGCCCCTGGACATAGTGAATGGCTCAGACAACGACACTGTAAATGGACCAGCAGGAAGAAGGAAATGCTGAACCTGATATTCTGGCACTAAGCCAGAATCCTTAAAGGGGGCCAAAGTAGTCCCAGGTTGATACCCAACCCTAGCTATAGCTGTTGTAGTAGAAACAGATACAAATCCTCATAGGAAGATGGGATCCCCAATTTAGGCCCATAGGATTCTTATCAAATAAGAGCAAGGAAATAAATGATCAGGGTCAAGGTCAGTGTCAGAGTTGTTCTTCAAGATTTAGCTCAGAATAATTCCAAACAGAAATGATGGCCAAAGTACATTTCACCTTTTCCTATAGTTTCATTATAACAACAATAAAGGAAGTACCAAACTCATGAGAAATCAAGCTAATGGATAAGAGTGTACAGGAATATCAAACAGTGGATTTAAGCCCCCAGAACATGAGATATTAGAATTACCAAATCAGAATAGAATAACAATGTATGAAATGGTTAAAAAATTAACAATTGAAATCTCACAGATGAGCAAGCAATAAGAGACTATCAGGAATGAAAAGCAAATTTAAAAAAAAAAAAACTAGAACTTCTTGAAATAAAAAATAAAATTGTTGAAATAAAAAATTAAGTGGAAGGCTTAAGCAACAGAATAGACACAGCTGAAGAGAGAATTACTGAAGAAATTACCCAGAATACAACAAATAAATGAAAAATATTCAGGAGAGGTTGAAAGATACGGAGGATAGAAAGAGGCCTAACATGGTAATTACCATTCCAGAGAGAATAAAATAGATAATAGCTGAGAAATTTTCCAAATTGATGAGAGACATGAGTCCACAGATTCAGGAAGCCTAATATCTCAAGCAAAATCAGAATTAAAATAGCACAGCAAGCAAAAATATTAATCAATTTATATATACATTCCAGTGAAATTATAGCATATCCAAGATAAGGAGAACTTAAAAGAAGCCAGAAAGAAAAGATATATCAGGCCCCAAGACCACCATCAGGCTCAATGAGTTGCTAGAAGGACTCACAGGATTCAGAAAAGCTGTTATACTCACAGTTATAGTTTATTATAGCAAAAGCATAACTTAAAACCAAAGATTAAAATCAGCAAAGGGAAAAGGTACATAGGGTGGAATCCAGGAGAAAAGGCACTTAGAGCTGAATCGAGGAGGAGAAGCTTCCCGTTGTCCTCTCCTAGTTGAGTCACATGGACAGCAATTTAATTCTCCCATGTGCAAAATGTTGGCAACCAGGGAAAGTCAGTGAGCCTTGACACCAGGGTTTTTATTTGGAGTCAGTCACATAAGCATGCAATGCCTGCATGATTGACCTCAGCCACTCAGACCCCAGTCCCCCAGAGTCAAACTGATACAAGGTGGCCCAAAGCCTCAGGCATCAGAGTGTTTAACATAAATCACATTGTTAGCATAAACTATCTGGCAGGGCTCAGGACATACAAAAACACCCTTATCAGGCAGGATACTCCAAGGGCTCATAGGTCATTTCCCAGGAGCCTTGCCCCAAGATAGTCCTAAGGATCTTGGGAATGCACAGGACTGCTGAGTTAACCCTTTGCTGCATACACATAATTTACAAGAAATGAAAATTAGACTAACAGAAGAGTTGCAAAAGCAACATGGAAGTCAGAAGACAGTGGAATGATACCACTGATCAAAGAGCAGAGAGAAAAATTACTGTCAACATAGAAGTATGTACCCATTAGATGCAGAAAAAACATTTAATACAAATCATATTCACATCACAGAAAACTAGAAATAGGGGTAAGTTTTCAACCTAGTAAAGGATGTTGGTGGTCTTGAGTATTGTTTCTCAAAGATTTTTTTTTTCTTGGAGAAGATGCACTTTCTGGCTCCTTTGTGGTTCAGTAAGGCCATGTGACTATCTCTGGTCAATGAGTTTTGAGCAGAAGTAATGAATGTCATTTCCAGGCCGGAACATTTAATTGCCAATGTAAGAAGACCTTCCAGAGCTTTCTTTTTCACGGGCATAGTTTCTAGCAATACTCAAGATGGTAGCTGCTCTGTCAGCTAGAATGAGCAGGGCTGTTAGTCAACCCAATGGAGGGATAGCATAAGCATGAAATAAACCTTTATTGTTTTAGCTGCTAAAATATTTTGAGTTATTTGTTACCACAGTTTATCCTGCTTAGTACAAGTTACTATAAAATAAGTTGCACAAGCTTTAATCTTAACAGTGAAACTATGAAAACAAGTTCCGTTAAGATCCCAAATAAGAAATATGTTGTACTGGAGGTCTTATCCAAGACAATAAGGTATAATTCACATGGAAGGAACAAAATTGTTATTATTCACTTATGATATGATTGTCTACATAGAAAATCCAAAAGAATCTACAGACATATATTAGCATTAATAAGATTTAGCAGGGTTCTGGTTATACACAAATATATACAAACTCATTGTATTTCTATACTCCATTAACAAAAACTTAGAAAATGTAACTTATAAAAAGATATAATTTACAATAGCATCAAATAATATAAAGTACCTAGGAATTGTCGAAACAAAAAAATGCAAGATCATTCTGGTTATGAAAAAATCTATTGAAAAATATTAAAGAACATCTAAATAAATGAGGAGATATACCACATTCATGGAAAGAAAGACTTAGTAAAGATGTTAGTTCTAAAGAATAAAAAGAAAAGTGGAGGAATGAATGACACAAACCTCAGGATAATCGTTACTTACAGGAGAGGGTGAATGAAATCATGGTGAGACTCATTGGTTTTTGGGGGGACAGTATTTGTAATGTTCTATTTCATTGTTTGCATGCTGGGCACAAGGGTGTTCATCTATTTTTTTCTTTAAACTACGCATACCCTCTTTTGTATGAATGCTATATATTTATAAAGAGAAAGCAGTCAGATTCCCAGATCTACTCTCCCACTTCTTGTAACTATTCTTCCCGAACTCAAGCAAAAGACTGGAGGATTTTTCAATGAAAAAGGTATAACAGATGGTATCCTCTCTGAGGGATTTCCAGCAGCTGAAGGTGGTGGTGTTACGCTAAAAATAAGCTGAGACTCCCAGCCCTAAAAGAGGCCTTTATC